AAGATCCCAGGTGATGCAGTCCACAGCCAATAAGCAAGACCTGAACTGTTTGGGTCCTAGTCCTGGGACAGCATGGAGCCCGAGCCTAGGCAGTTTTTCTGGCGATGCTTCCTTGGGCCATGCAATGGGCTTTGTGTCCACAGCCCCAGGTATTAAGAAAAAGATCCTTTGCACACCCCTGTTCCCTCCCCGTCTATTTCCCTCTGTGACTGCAGGAAAAGGAGTCTGACTGAGAGTAGGATTCGTGTGTTCCTATGTCCCTGCCCCACCCCCGCTTCCCCAAACCATTTTAATGTCACATTATTTGCAACAAAACAATACAAATGACAGTTATTTGGGTCAATTGCTTACCATTTTTGCCTAATTACCATGCAATCAAAAATTAGTCAAAACACATGTCAGATTAGCTTCTGTGAGCTTTATTTGATTACAACAATAACCTCCACTCTGTATGCTAACCTTCATGGCTGGTTACACATGTAAAATGGTTGTCTGCTCACAACTTCAAAACATCTGAGGGAACACTGGGCATTAGAGACATGGTAAATTATCCAATCTGTCGGTTTCCTGCAGTAAGGAATGGTTAAAGCTGTGATTGCTAGTTTAGAGGGCCTGTCTATATTCCTACCCTCTTTACTTCCAATGTCCTAAACACGAGAGGGGAGTGGGGGAAGAGGGGAAGGAACAGGAAGAGAAAAAATGGGATTTAGATAAACGTGATAAATCTGTTCTATTACCTACATTACACACTGGGTGTGTTTAAAAGAAAAGAAAAAAAAAAAAAAGACCAATCCAGAGGAATTGCTGCAAATCACACAACCCTGATTACATGGCAGTATTCCTGGTGGGAAAGCCAGAGTAGTGAAGGATGGACTTTAGCATGTACTATGCATTTATTTATGGTACAGCACATCATCAAATACTTCACAGGCTCTAAGCTGGCAAACCAGAGGCCTTTGAAGAGAAATAATGAGCTGAGAGGTTCACGACATGCTATTAAAAAGTTTGTGACTGGATTCGGAAAATCAGATGGGTCTCCAAGGAAAGGGACAATTTCTGAGCCATTGCACTTAGAATATTTTTTGAGCTCCAGAGCAGATATTTATGAGAAGAGAGAGTTGTTTTTGTCTCCGATCCAGGTTTGGACTCTGATGTACAGCAGGGAAGCCGCTTCGCACTGCAGACCTGAAGTTCTGGAATATCCATGATGTCACCTTTTTCTACTGATCTGCTACCACTGCACAGAGGCGCGCTATTAGCTCTGTGATGTTTTAGCTTAATTCTCCCACATGTGGGTTGCAATTGCAGCCAAAACAAAGTCGGCAGGGGATTTTACAGCCCCTGAATTGCTCAAGGTGCCGCTGGCTCGGTGAGATCAGGTCAGGACGCACGCATTATGAGCGAAAAGACAAAGAGAAAGAAGAGGCCCCAGGACAGTGGGATTTCCGGTTGCCTGGTGTGTGATTTCCGAATCAAGCCTGTGGTCTTCCAGTCAATGATTTGATGTTCTGTGTTTTCACCTTTGAGATTTTCAGTGCTTCTCTGGCAGATGTGATGGGAGAAAGCACCCTGTTCTGAGCGGTGAACTGTGGATGGAATCCCTCTTACTGAATTAGAAAGGAAACATTTTAGGATACGAGCTCATGAAAGAGAAGAGTTTTGAAATGGAAAAAAAAAAAAAAGTGCACACACACACACACACACACACACACACACACACACACACAGAGTAACACATAACTAGGCCAGCACAGGATGCATTTGTGGTTAAGCCATCTTTCCCACTGCAGATGACACTTTAACGCTTTGATTCCCAGAGTCCTCCTGCACACACCCAGCAGGAAAAGATGCCTCGGCAGCTGCCACCCTAAAGCCAGGCTGCGCCAGAGACGGAAGGAGGAAGGTCTGGCTGCACGTGATCACCAAAGCCTTCAACTTGAGATCAGTCTGTGACTCCTTCTCTTCTCCCCACCGGCAATGTCGTGACATAAATGCGTAACCCTCGCTCCCGGAAGATCTTCCGAATAGAACGAACGATGGGACAGAGCAATCACACCAGGAAAGACTACTTGTGATCATTAGGGGAAGAAAAGGGGGGAGTGGGGTGGGTAAACTGTTAGGCTAATCAAAAGCAAATAACTGTTGTTTTTTCTTCAGCTGTCTTCGCAAAAGTCACAAGGATGATGGTACATTTTCAAGCCTGCTCCAGCCAAACTCTGAAATATGCAAGTATTGGTTTCGTATGTGCAAAGCTGCTTTTTTTTTTTTCTTTTCTTTTTTCTTTCACTGTGGGAAAATGAACTTATTTTCAGTCACCCCTGACATCTGACCACTCGACTGATCACGAGGACACTGTGGTAAACCACAGCTCAACTTGAAATGATCTCTTTCAGGCGCGGTTCCTGTATTTTGGACGGCACCAGCCCTGGCTGCCCAGCTTCAGTTTGCCTCTATGGGGGTTCCATTTTCGCTTTCCTCCATCGACTCAAAGCAAGTGGTCTTATTCTAAAGTCTTTCAACTGGGCTCATCCTCAAAATAAGCTGAGTACAAAAAACGACACCAGTTTTCCCAGCCAAAGCCCTAAAAGTGGCCTATTTATACATTGTGTTCTTCTTTTTCAAAAGGGCAGGGGGCGGTGAAAACTTTAAACATCCTGGAAAAGAAACCAAAAAAAAAAAAAAAAAAAGCCAATTCTCCTGATTAATATCAGGATGATCCAGCAGGGTTTATACATATTCCTTCTGTTTGAATCATCTTGTTTTTTGTAGCTGTTTTACACCTCCAGGATCCTGCCATCTGCCCACTCTAAAGAAACGCAGCAAAGCATTCCAAAAACAATGGCTGGAAGGAAATCATTTTGAACAAACCCAAGAGATGGGCTTGTCTGAGCCCTTCTGCTTATTGCTACGCTCCCTGGAGGAGTGTGGGCTGGACCCGAGGCTCATGCTGCGTGGGTCTCGTCTCCTAATAGCCCCCCTCCATCCCCCCCCCACCCCGAGCCCTGTCATGCCATCGGGCTGACAAGAGATCTGGCTGCCCTCCTGGCTGAGGAAGGAGGGGGAGGAGGGGTGGGCGGCCCCCTGGGCAGCTCTGTCCTACTCGGATCTGGTGTGTGTCACTGGAATGACAACTTGAAGAAGGCTGGAAGCCTGTGGACCCTACAGCGGGCCCGGTCCCCCTCACTCTCTTGCTACCCGAGACAAGAGTTAACAGGCCCAAAGAACACGGAGAGGCCATCGGGACGGACGAAAGCAGTCTTTCGTTTTGCTCACAAAAGCCTGGGAAATCTAAAGCTTAGCAAAGGCTTTATCAGTCCTGGGGCTGAGCCAACGAGCAAGCTGAAGTTCAGTTGGCCAGGCCAACGCAGCTGCTGGCTATCCACGCTTCCCACGGGGACTTTTCCTCAGCCCGTGATTTAGACAGTGAAGGGATGGGTAAGGTGCATGTAGCTGCCGAGGGTGACCGGAGAAACGAAGTGCCTTGCAGTTCCCGAGCAGTTTAGGTGGAGCAGAGAGTGCAGAAAAGGTTTTCTTTCCAGCCGCAAGATGAGGTGTCAGTTAAAGGGCTGCTGGCCTTGCGGAGAGGTTATTACTTTAAAGGGATATTGGCAAATGCTTCTGGCTGAACATTTAGGCTTGGTTACTTGCCTTTCCCCCACAGTTCATAGAGGGATAAAGATATTACATGAATTGGATTTTTCTTGTGAATTAAAACATCGATGTCCTGACAAGTTAGTGCTGAGCAGGCAGAAAGGAGGGAGAGGACGAATGCTTTGCCTTCCGCGCAATGCAAAAAAATGTTCCCAAAACAGCATCATCCCACTCATTGTTCAAGGTCACCAGACTGTGCATGCTCAAAATGGGACTCAAGACTCCCAAATCCCAGTGTCTGATTAATTGTCCTTTGACTAAAACAATGAAAATAAAATGGGTTAGCAAAAGGCATTGCTCCAGGCCCCAAAGTTCAGAAAGCAAGCACACCCTCAAGGAAAGTAGGATTTTCTTTAATTGGGCTGACGTTGAATGCCTCCGTAATAATGCTGTAAATGTGAAAGTGTCATTGGCACGGTAGGTATATTGGTGATTTTTTATCATGCCAGTTAAAAGGTAGTGAGTATCACTGTGCTGGGTTCCTGGCACTGGGCAAGGCATTTCCCCCACATTATGTGATTAACCCTCACAAGTAGCTGGGGGGTCTCATGGCCACTATTTTACTGATGGTGCTAAAACTGATTATAGTCCTTTGCTTGATGTGTAAGTGGCAGAACTGGGATTCAAGTCTAGGTTTCTAACTTCCATATTTCAGAACCACTTAACTGCCTTTTTAAAATAGCATCTTATTTTGTGTATTCGTATCTGGGTCAACGACTGTAAAGTGTAAGTTCCTAGATGAGAAAAACTATGAGCTGAAGCAGAGCTTTCTTTGAATTACCTACTTGCCATATTTCGCCTAAATATGAAGGTAGTGGGGTTGGTCGTGAAATACTAGCATCCATCGCTTTTAATTAAATAGTGCACATGTTCGTAAATAAACTCTCTGTGAGGAAGACAATATATACCCCGATATTTCAAATGCATTGAGATGTCCAGACATAAAATAGTTTGGGTCTTATAAGAGGAAAATATTGGTTTGAAAAGTTGGAAGGTTAAAGATGTTAGTACACAGGTGCTAAGTGCACATTGACAAAGCAGGAAGAGGGAAATTAATTTAGTTAGCATCTAAGTTGGAGGATGTGGATGCCAACCTCTCTTAAAGTAGAGGAAAAAGACATAATATCATCTTTTCTCTACATTTTTCTCTTTCTTTTTGAAAAAAGGAAAGATATGGGGATAGGAAAAACAAGTTAAAAGTGCTAGTAACACACAGAAGTAGAGAACAAATGTATGGACACCAAGGGGGGGGAGGGGTGTGATGAATTGGGAGATTGGGATTGACATATATACACTAATATGTATAAAACAGGTAACTAATTAGAACCCGCTGTATAAAAAAATTTAAAAAATAGAATTCAAATATTCCAAAAAAAAAGTGCTAGTAATAATAAAGATGAAAAATGGATTGCACCTGCCCCCAGGGATCTCACGGTCCAGAAGTGGAAGCAGACACATTAACAAAACAGTATGAGAGATGAAAAATAGGAACAGGTACAAGGCACAGAAATAGGGTAGAGGGGACGCAATTACCTAGAGAGAGAAGGAAAAGGTGAGGAAAAGCTTCACAAAGGAGGAAAACTTGGGCTGGAATTTAAAGACTTTGACTAAGTGCATAATGGAGGGAAAAAGAAAACTCTGTACAAAGGCACAGAGCATGAAATGAGCTGACATTTTGGGGCCCAGAAGGAATCTGATATTGCTGGAGGAGAGAGCAGACAGGCTAAGTGTGGAGAGATGAACTGGCGAAGTAGTTAGCAGGCTGGGTCTAGAATGTGGTGTGGTGAGCCACTGATGGGTTTTCAAAAGCGGATTTGAGTTTCCAAAAAGTTACTCTTGCGGTGCTGTCAAGAATGAATGGTTGGTCATCTGATCAACAAAATGAAAAGCCAGTTGTTTCGAAAAAGTAATTAAATAGACAAACTCCTGCATGATTGGTTTCTTTTTAAGAGGCAGAACTAAACAGTACTAGATATGAACAGGGACATTGAAGCAGAAAAAAGTAAATATTTAAAAATCATAAGGGAATCACGTGAACAACTTCAGAGCAATATATTTGAAACCTTAGATACACCATACAATTTTTAGACAGCATAAATTATGGAAATAAACTTGAGAAGAAATTGACACTGAATAAACCCATAACCAGTAAGGGGAAAAAATTAACTCCACAGTCAAAAGTACACCACAAAGACTACTAGCTCCAGAGGAGTACGTGGACAATTTCTTCCCAAAACTTCAAGGAAGAAATAATAACCCCTCACAAATAACCATTCTAGGGAATAGAAAATGAGAGAAAACTTGCCAACGTGTTTTATAAAGTCATTATAATCCTGATGTCAAAGCCAGAGAAGGACTAAATAAGAATCAATCTCACATATGGACAAAGAAGCAGAAATACTGAATAAATGTAAGCAAGAAATCCGAAATAAGTGTGTATATATAAATGTCATATAAAGTATATTTTACATGGCATGCAAGAATTGTTTAACATTAGAAAATCAATCATATAATTTATCACATTGACATATTACAATTCATAATGGGAAACATTCAGGGAAATTCGACACCTGTTCATAATTTTTAAAAAAATCTTTGCCAACTGGTATGAATCATAGCTCCATGACTTATTCGTTAATAAATTTTAATTCAGGTAAGAAAATCTAAGCTTTGTACAAAAAAGGAAATGAGTGGATGAGAAGAGGAAAGAGAATGGAGGCAAAGAGAACAATTATGAGGTCATCATGACAAATCCAGGTATGAGACACAGCCTTCAGAGGCTGGAGGAAAGTCCTGATGGTAGAGGCAGAGGGGAGAGCAGATTTCAGCCATAGTTAGGAGGAAGACCGATAGAAGCTGCTGACTGACTGGGCGTGGGAGGAGGGTCGTAATGAGGAGACAGGCGTTCATTATGACTCCTGGCTTTCTGCACTAGGTGGCCGTGTGGATGGTAATTCAATTACTCAAAATTGAAAATGCAGTTTGAAGATTTGTCTGAAATTAGCAAGTCCTCTTGCATGAGGGTAAAATAACTAAGAGAACTACTCAGCAGCCTGAAAAAGAGCTTTTGCCATCACTGGATTTCAATTAATAGCAGGACAGAGAGAGAGAGAAAAGCATTACCTGCTTTTGAAGCCCACGTTAGAGCTGGGCCTGGCAAAGTCGCCACTTGATAAACACTTACTGAATCAGGCCAAAGCTACCAGCAGTTTACAGACTGTATGAATGAGTAAGAAGCTGAGGCTGTGGGGTACCCAGCATCACAGCAGGCAAGAAAAAAGTCTACCTTGGAAGTATATAGTTAATCTAGGGTTAAGAAGTACCTAATAATGGTAATATTAGTGATACAAATATTTTTAACATTGAAAACAGAGCAAAGAAGGAAAGATATTTTCATTTTTCTTAAATCCTGCTCTATCACATATTCCGTTATGTTTTTATAAATAATTATTACATTTTTGAATTAAAAATTAAGCTTTGTTCACAACAGATTTAATTTGTATAGAAAATCACAGAATGTAATACTTTGGTCCTCAAGGATTCCCACGTGCCTGAAGCACTGTGTCCACATGCTGGCAGCTACAAGAATTGCCTTTTTCTTCCCTCTTCATTTCTTCAATTTTCCCTCCCAACTTGTTAATATCTATGTATGTCCCACTCAGTATGCTGTGATTTGAATCATATCAAAATCTATAGAAATACACCAAACGAAATCACCACTTTCCTATGTATATGCAAAGTGTCAGGAAAATCATTGGTTAAACATCCCACTGTTCATTCTTTTCCCAGGCTGGATGCAGTGGACCCAGTGGACAAGACTATAGAGCATGGAGGGCCACCTTGAAAGCAGTCACAACCTACAGAAGGAAGCATCAGGCAGCTGCCAACGAGTTTTGTTAAGAGCAAGATCAGGGCTTCCCTACGAGAATGACGATGACTTCATTGGGCTTTAAGGAAATTCATTCAGGTGTGGAGTTGGGTGGAAAGTGCCAGAAAAGTATGAGTGACCCATCTAGAGTTTGGTAATTATTTCATAACTGCCTGGTGCTTAAACCTTTGGGACACCAGATCACAGATTGTATTACCTAAGGACCAAACCCAGATCAGAGGGAGAATGTACTAGAACCCTTTGCCAGGAGCAATCTCCTGCTGAAACCATCCAAGTGGCAGGATCCACAGCAGGACAAAGGAACTTTTGAAAGGGACTTGAAAAAGAGTTCAGTTACTCTGTGGTTAACCCATCAAAGGCGTCTTCCTGTAACCCAGAGGACAGCAGGCCTCGACATGTGCCGGCCATTTGGAAAACAGAGTCATATGGAGTAGATCAAACATTTCAGGAGAGCCCCTTGCCTTGAAAACACGGACCCTTATGAAAATCATTAAGCAATTGGTTGTTATTTATTTGCTTACACTGTGCTTCAGCAAAGCAAGCAGGAAGATGAGGATAAGAACCACTGAGCCAGTTTCAGAGGCCCTAGTTCAGGAAAGAAGGATTCCCTTACACCCCTGATTTTAAAGAGCCTTTTACGAAGACATCCTACCACACGGCTGGCCTAGGGAGGCTGTCTTGGCTCCCTTCGACTGTGTATTAGGTTAACAACCACCTCAAGCTTCTTAGAAACCTAGAAATCCCCAGGCTGTTAGAGGAATTCCACAGGGCTAAGAAAACGCTTGCAATCTCAGCACTGGAAGCAGAAAACTATTTCCAAACATCGTCCTTTCTCACTCTGTGGCACTCTGTGTAACCCACTCCCAGCCTCAGAAAACCTGGGCGGCTCCACAGCACACCCGCAAATCTGTCCTTCTTAATGAGCCAAGCACTCTTCGTTCATGGCTTGGATCCGTGGACCCGGGAACGAACGAGGAGCAAGTCCGTATTTTCACTTCGGGAGTTACCAGGTTATTGTGCATTGAGTTCCTTCTCAACTAAAGTAATTCCATTGTCTGATGCCTGGAACTTTGCTTGCTTTGAAGTTTAAGGAAGTAGCCCCTCAAGATTCATCCGTCTCCTAGCCTCAACTTCCCTTTCACTCAGACGCAAAGTGCTTGTGAGTGGAGAAGGGCTCAGCAGCATGTCATCATTCTTACACTTTGGGCTTTCAAGTGATCTGTGCTCTGGGGGATGCTGAATGCATCGCCTCAGAGGCTCTGGGAAGTGGGGGAGGAGGCTGGCTCTTGGAAGCTGAACTCAACTTCTCCCAGAACATTACAGAGGTTGAAAAAATCTGTCCTCCAAATATTCAACACATATGTTCTGAAATTCATTAAGTTCCAAAATTAAAAAACAAGTTTAAAAGATCCAGCATTGGTTCTTGTACAAAGCAGATACTCAAGGAATGCTTGTTGACTGAGGAATTTGTTAGCTGATAAATATGAGAAATACAGTCTGTTTTGTACCACATGGCAGCTGAGGTTGCTAGGAAGACATTTGTCCCTGGCTTGTCATTATACAAGTTTTAGAAAATGAATTGCCTAAACCCTACCTGTGTTTGAAGAACAACTTCCCTGACAAAGCCTCCTCAATACTCTCTGCTTTGTCATTTTTGGAGGGGACAACTATCACTTGGCTTTGAGTTGTTAATTAACTTTTTGGTATCTTCCCAACTTCATGGTCCCCAAAGGGAAAATTCTGTCTTATTTTTCGTTTACGTAAATTTTGGAGGTAACCCCCTCAGGATCCAACATGAGTTTCTGCACAAAGTACATACTCAACAACTGTTTGTTGACAGATCAATTTGTTCATTAATAGATATTAAAAATACAGTCTGGTCTGTACCATATGGCAGCTGAAGTTGCAGTACACAAAAAGCGTCATTCTCTGCTACTTTTTCATAGACCGTACTTAGAAGAAATATTTTTTAGAAGACCTTTTCTGTGGTCTCAAGTTACGTTTAGACACCAGTATTTAAGAGGGAATAATGTGTTTTATGCAGTAAAATAAGACATCAAGTATACAAATATTGCAACACTGCAGTGACGTTTTCTGTTGACAGAGATGTTGATTAATTTCTAGTAGGCCCATGACAGCCATTTCTGAGGAGCCTTAGTCATGAGAGATGCTCGGTAGATGAGCTAATCAGGTTTTTTTAGAGTACAAGATCTAGTCTTGATGCTTTTTGTATTAAGAAAGAAAGGAAGGGAGGGGGAAGGGAAAGAGAGAGAGAGCAAGTGAGGAAAAAGGAAGGAAGGAAGGAAGGAAGGAACTCTGTTAAAATATCCACATACATGATTTAACCACTTATTAGCTAATGACTCGTACACATAACAAGTATGTCAATATAAGAAAGATGAAAGGAAAAAGAAATTCCAACCCTAGAAATATAATTTGGGGATCTTTCCCCCACTTTGCCCAATGCCATCGTACTTCCAGGCCTAAGGAAAGCTCATTCTGGGAGTCTACCTAAACTCTAGAACTTCTAAGTATCACGCTTCTTATCAGTGCTTCAGATTGGGATAGTCTTCCAATAGAAGTCTGGGAAATGGGTCTTTACATTCACTTGCACGTCTTATCATTGGGACAATAGCCTCCCCACAGCAGGTACTGGCTCCTTTCGGTGGACTCTGAAGGCATCGTCTCATTTAATCACTCCATGGAGGCAGGAGCTGTCTCTTTTCTTTGAGGAGGGCTGATACACGAGCGGTGCCCAATACCTATTTGTTGAGAAAATACATTCTCCTATCAGCCCTATGAAGTAGCAGCAGGAGGCCAGTTTGCTGGATGGGGAAATTCAAAGGTGAAGGGAACAAGTCACTTGCCTGAGATCTTCGCAGAGCCTGATTTGTACCACTGTCTCTCTGACTAGCCTCTGTGCTGAGCCCTCCTGCGAGAAGGCAACCATCTACCTTGGTACCCACCCTCATCAATGTATCTGGAGGGCTACTTTCAAGGGGATCCTTTCCTTTTGCTGGTAAGTTAAAAAAAAATGAAAAACTCCTTTGATCCCTTGAAGATGATTAGCTATAAAGAAAGCTAAACCGTCGAGGCCTACATGATATTGTTTCCCTGGGAAATTTTTTTTTTTCTAAATTGGGAAATGGTTACCTAGGCCCCCATAAAGCCAGCTCAGAGCTCTACTTCTCCTTCCTCTATCAAGACTTCATTGACTTGGAAAGTGGCTTCTGCTCCAAGGAGTGTGCCAACAGCTTTCACAGGCTGCCAAAACCCTCCACCTCTTTCTTAAAGGAGCCAGGGCCTTTCTTTTCTAGAACTTTATGCCACAATTAAGCAAAACCCAGCCACTTTCAAACAATGTTATACCACAGTTTCCTTAAAATATATGAGAAACCTTCCTATATCTTCTTAAGGTATTAAAGTATAACATATGTGTTCAGTAGCAATCATCACCTACTCTACTGAAAGTTCAAACATTTCTAAAGAGGTGGACAAATATTGATCAAGAACTACCAAAAACTTACTATGCCTGATTTCTTAATTAATATAAATGTGCTATATTTATACATACAGCAGCCCACAGTGATAACAAGAGCTCAAAAGGGCACATAACTCCCAAAACCAAAACCTGTGTTTTAGTGAAATGCATTACAAATAGGATTCCACCTGTGCAATACTTTTACAATATAAATTTAAAAATAGAGAAATTAGCTATCTATTAACCCATATTGGTCATTTTTACTGAATCTACACATTGCCAAAAATTGTATCTCAATGAAAAAAACTTGAAGGAAGAAAAATAATAGAGAAATTGCTTTTTAATGTCAATGGAAGAAGACCTGAATCTGAGTGGATGGGTGGATGGGATGGATTTGTATAAACTGACTTGATCATATTCTTTTTTTAAAATTGAAGTATAGTTGATTTACAATGTTATCTTAGTTTCTGGTGTACAGCAAAGTGATTCAGATATATATATATATATATATATATATAGTCTTTTTCATTGTGGTTTATTACAGGATATTGAATATAGTTCCCTGTGCTATACAGTAAGAGCTTGTTTATCTATTTTGTATATAGTAGTGTGTATCTGCTAATCCCAAAGTCCTAATTTATCCCTCCCCCACTCCCTTTTCCTCCTTTTCCCCTTTCATAACCATAAGTTTGTTTTCTATGTCTGTGAGTCAGTTTCTGCTTTGTAAATAAGTTCATTTGTATCATATTTTAGGTTCCACATATAACTGATATCATATGATATTTGTCTTTCTCTTTCTGACTTACTTCACTTAGTATGATCATCTTTAGGTCCATCTTGACCATATTCTTTTTGTTTTTTTTTTTTGCAGTACGCGGGCCTCTCACTGTTGTGGCCTCTCCCGTTGCGAAGCACAGGCTCCGGACGCACAGGCTCAGCGGCCATGGCTCACGGGCCCAGCCGCTCCGCGGCATGTGGGATCTTCCCGGACCGGGGCACGAACCCGTGTCCCCTGCATCGGCAGGCGGACTCTCAACCACTGCGTCACCAGGGAAGCCCTTGACCATATTCTTAATCTTGCAATTGAGATGATAGTATTATTCAGGAGGCTGCCATTCATTCGTCGTATTGAGATACGGTATGCAAACCACACAGCACCACGTCTGGCACGTGGGCTCGGTGTTTTGTTCTAGCCAACCATGTCAGTTATTGATACCACCAAGGCTACTCCAAGAGGAGAAAACATGATAATAAAATTGGTCAAGCCAGTCTGCTTTTAATACTACCCCTGGTATGACCGTGCTTACTGTTAGTGGAATTCATTTTAGATCTGTTAAGAATGAATTTATTTCCATATGAAATACAATAAAACACCAGTTTTCAAATATATCTTCTCCATGCCCGACTTAATGAAATCTCACCCATCCAGCAAGGCTCGTTTTGAATGCCAGCTCCTCCATTGCATCTTTCCTGATCTCTCTTCCATGCAAATGTTTTCACTCTCTCGAACATCTTAAAAACTTTGGCTTTTACCCCTCTGAGGATCCTTTCCCTGCTCTGCATGTCATGTTACTGTCTCTTTGCCTGATCCCCAATTAGATTTTGAGTCCCTTGAAAGCTGGGATCAGTCTTATCTTTACATTTTCTACAGGCTGAGCACAGGGCATTGGACTTAGAAGCTCAATAAAAATGTGTTGAGCTGCAGTGAATTGTGACCCACCCTGGCTACCAGGCTCCTGGCCAGCTTCAGCGTGCAGAACACAATGGCTTCTTGTACTCGCTGCTGCGCACACCCACATACATACACTAAACACCTGGAAACATGGCCACTTAGTTGCTTGGCAAACACTCTCCCTCCCAGGGTGTCTTCCCTTTTGAAGAGACTGCTCTGACAGCTGGGCTGCTGCTGGTTAGAAGGGGCACTCCCTGGAATGGTCCAGCACTGCAGCAAATGGCCAAGCTCACTGTGCCAGGAACCAAGAAAAGAGAAGGGTCCAAGCAGGGGAGTCTCAATGCCAAGAATGTGCTCTCAGATTTATCACTAAGAGGGAAGCAGGGAGCATCGCAAGAGAGAAACCGATGTTGAATTTGCACCGAAGCCTCTTCCCTCTCCCGCCCCCTTTTCCTTCTCCATCCTCCCGTTTCCCTCTCCTGTACCCGGTCCTCCATTGTCGCTTGGTCTTGCTGAGCTTGGAATTCAGCCCTAATACCGAGGAAGAGGCCTCCGCTCCAGTGAAGTGAGGGCCTTCTCCCACTTCCTCTGTGGGATGCTCTCCCAAGATGCTGTGGCAGCGATGCTGCTGCTCTTTATTAAATACAAATTACACTGAGAAGCTTCCAAGAGTGGAAAGTTGATTTCCCCAAACCCTCCAGGCATTTCCCAGATCCTGAAAGGATTATTAGTCTTATTGATTGTCATTATTATATACAAAGCCTACATCATTTTTTTTAAGTTTCCTTAAAGGGACAACATAGAATAAGCATAAGCATGCAGCTTCCAGAATGCGTCCTTAGATTCTGACATAACCTGTCGGACTCTGGTCGGCCATCAGGGCAGAAGGGAACAGGCTTCTCCCTGAAGTTCAGGCAGGGGTGGCAGATTTACCAAGATAAATACAGGACACCCAGGTCAGTTTGGATTTCAGATAAACAATGAACAACGTTTTAGTATAAGTATGTCCCAAATATTGCATGGGACATACTTACAATAAAACAATATTTGTTGTTTATCTGAAGTTCAAATTGAACCGATTATCCTGTACTTTATCAAGCAACCTTAAGCCCAGGGAGAGTCAGGACAGTAAAGGGATTTTCACCAACAAAAGCTTCTTTTAAAGCCCTGGCTGAATGGCTTTGGACGACATTTCAATTCAGGCCCTGCATTTTCCCTGGAGTGTGAGCTCAATGTCATAGAAAAACAATTGGGAAAATGAACATTCAGTGAACATTCCGCCCCTTCCTTGCCCTCAGCAGCCTGTGGCAAACTGCTCCCCCTCAACCAGCTGGGGAGGAAAAGAGCTCTCTCTTCTAAGATGGCTTTCCCCTCCCCTTTTACAGATTGGCTTGTTTCTTAGATTTGCTGGAGAGCTGCTTTCGCTAATTGCTTGCAGACTGCGATCCAATCAGGCTTGCCAACTGTGGAGGCAGTGTGGAGGGGCTGAGAGGTAAAGAGGAAAGAGTTTGGAGTCAAGTGGACTTGGTTTGGAATTCTGGCTCTGCCACGCCCTGCCTGGGACACATTGGGCAAACTGCTTAACCTCTCTGGGCCCCAGTCTCCACATCCGTAAAATGAAGGAACTCACAGTGTTGACGTGAGGGTGACGTGAGATTGGAGCATGTACAGTGCCCATCACCGTGCCTGACACATAGTAGGTGCTCCTTTAATATTAACTGTTGTTATTATTGTATCTCTTTGGCATGTCACACATGACAGGTGACACCTAGAATTGAGTCTACTCAAGCCTGGGACTTGGAAGTCTGGGAATGCAGATTCTAGAAGGCCGTTAAACCCTGTACACCTGGAAAGGATAACTCATTTGAAGGATGGCGCTATCGCTCTCCTTCAGCACCCTGCCCCATTCAGTCTGGTAGACTGAACCCCTCTGAAGCCAATGATCACATCACCAAATGGATATGAATTAGGTCACCACAAAAAGGTATTGGGGGTCAGGAAGTCTAGTTGAAGAAGTGGGAATAAGAGAGAGAGAGGAAGAAGGAGAAGAGGGAGGGAGAGGGAGAAAAAGAGAGGGGGAGAGAGTGAGAAGGCGAGGCAGGGAGAGAGGGATCTCATAGACCTCTTAGGAGCAATCAATGGAATTATCTCCGTAACTATCAGAACAGTGCTGAGACGTAACCATAACCACAGTTTAACAAATGTTAGCTCTTATTATTTGAGATGTCTTAAAGAGTGGGTAGGACTTTCATAAATAGAAAAAGGGATTTGTAACTTAGAAGATAAATAAAGTTATTATCAGGCTGACCTTAACTGTGAGAGTGATAAATTTGGACTTGGTTTTATAGGCAAGGGAGCTGCAGAAGACTTTTGAGCAGGGGCTGAGACATTATTCCTAGTAGATGAATGCTGGTGAGAAAAGAGTACTCTCACCAAGATGTGTAAGATGGACTGGAGGGGAAAAGGGGTACAAGAGAAGGACTGGTGTAAGCAGGAGGTTGTTAGAAAAAAACAGATGAGAATAGGAGAATGAAGGGGCAGGGGAGGGGACACCAGGCAAAGGAGGGGATGGGGAGAGGGGAGAGAGAGAGAGGGAACTGCAGAGATCAAACATACAAGCTTGGCTACCAATTGGCTATCACTGGTCAGGAAGAAGAAAGAGCCAGTTTTCGGACTAAAAATGTATTGATTGTTGCCTTTAGCAGACCCTGTTTTTTGTCTATCCCACATTCCCCATCTCTCTTCCCCTCCTCCAATTTTGTTCAAATATTCACCCTTCTCTAAGTGGCCACTGCTTAAGAGAAGACGCACTTATCCGCAGCCCCAGGGGGTGGGTATTGATCTGTCCAAGACATCCACGTGGCTCCATTTTCTTCCCAGTGATTGGATTAGGCATGAGCATATGGCGAAATTCTTGGCAAAGAGAAACAAAGGAGTGGAAACAGCCCAAATGTTCATCAGTTAGGGAATGAATACACAAATGTGGTATGTCCGTACCGTGGAATACTATTATTCCGCAATAAAAAAGAACGAGATCCTGATTCATGGAGGCCCAACGTGGATGGGCCTCAAAATATTATGATAAGTGAAAGGAGCCAGATACAAAAAGCCACATATCGTGTGATTCCATTTGAGCAAAATGTTTAGAATCAGCAAATCGTAAAGGCAGAAAGTAGGTTAGTGCCTGTCAGGGGCTTTGGGGAGAGGGGGACAGAAGGTGATTGTTAATGGATACAGGCTTTCTTTGGGGGCAATGAAAGTGTTCTAAAATGGATTGTGGCGATGGCTGTACAGTTCTGTGGATGTACTAAAAAACACGGAATTGTACGAATTATATGCTACGCAAAGGATATCTCAATAAAGCTGTGATTAATTTTTTTAAACAACCAAAAAGGAAGACTGCTAGGGAGACTTCTGGAACAGATTTCATTGCTCTGAAACACACACACACACACACACACACACAAAGTAAACTTGGCTTCTCTTTCTGGAGGCCAATGTATGTGAATATGATCATTAGGGATGTTATAATAGTCTCCCTACCAGGAAAGGAGCCACAGAGCAGGTCAGTGCCAAAAGAAGCCCCTAGACTTCCCATTACTTAAGATAATAAATTTTCTTATATTTTAGACTAGTTGAGTTGGGATATTCCATCACTTGTAGCCACAGCATTTTAACTGATACAGTTCCATGAACAGGAAGGAGAAGGGCTGGTTTAACAGAGAGGCTGTGAATTTACATTAATTTGCAAGTGTAATCCAAGTGAAAGTTTCAAATGTAGTTCAAGATCTGGAAAAAGGGATAGATGGATGGATGGATGGAGGGATGAATGGATGGATTAGCTAGGAGTTCCATGCTCCGAGCTAAAGGCTAAATAAAGCCCCAGGGAGAGCACAGAAAGAGTGCAGAGAAGAGTCTGAGCTGTCTGGACAACCTCCACTGAGCAGGAGAAATGAGTGAAGGAGACAGAGAAAAAGTATATACAAAGGACATGGGAAAGTTGGAAAATGTTGCAAACACTATCATGCAAACTAAGAACAGGCTTCAGGAAGAAGGGGATTAAAGTCTGGGTCAACTTCTACAAAGAAACCAAGGAGGAAATAGCAGGGAGAATATGGTTAGCTAGATAACAAAGAGACCATTTTAAGAAAAAAAAAATTTTAAAACAACAACAACAACAAAATATAGTTTTAGTGGAGTGATGGCGACAAAAGCCAGGTTTTAGAAGATGTGGGTGGGGACGACAG